AATTGGCCAGTTCCCAACCTTCCTGATCCGATCAAGATGTATCAAGCAGTTCTACTTTTTCATGTGTCAAGATCCAATTAAATGGTTCATGCACAATAAAGGTCAGATCATCAACAGTCTTACTTGTCTCTATTACGCCAGAAGGTGCTTAATGCTACTTTAATCAGCTCTTGTTAACGTAATATATAGTCCTGCAACTTTGTTAAACACAGATGGGATTACAATTTCAGTGTGGAGGACAAAGTACTGACAGAGATGGGAAAAAAACATTACAGCAGTTAGTTGCTGCATGAATCAGTTTTGGTCTGTGAATTATTGATAGAGAATAAAACGTTATCTGACAACTAACTTCCTGGTTGAGCAAAAGTATTTGAATTCTTTTTTCACCGATGATAGCTTAGTGCATAGGTCACCAGTTGATGAGGTACTGAGCCAAAAATATGGGAAAACAGCAGTTTGGTGTTCTGAAATGCGTTTTTGTTTGCTGAAATCTTGTTCAAGGGAAGAAATTTCGCTCCTTGCTCTAATCTCAAATAGACCTCATTTGCCCTTGGAAAAATATGCCTGCTAGCAAAGTGTACAGATAACATTGAAGGGCTGAGGACCTCACCACCAGCCATGAGGGAGAATTGGTGCAATTGGTCTGTTATTTGAAACCAGACCTCAGAGGAAGTTTGCTGATTCAATGCATCTGCCACATGCTGAGAAGGATGTAAAGCAGGAAACAATGAACTGATCTTAATTGAATGGAAAATCATGGATTTGATGATATACAAATTCCCCAAATGTTGTTTTTCTAGGATGCACTATAGGAAGCTAAAGCAGAATTTGACCTCCAGTACCTTAACACTTATTCCTTCCCAAGTTTTTTCACTGAAACATAATTTTGTTTCCGTGTAATGTTACTGTTGTAAGATTTTCTTTTTGCTGAAGTCACTATGTGACCGTGCCTTCCCCATCTAAATCATTCCCATTTCACCTAGTTCAAAATCCTTAAAATCTACCACTTTCACTTGTGCTTTAGTTTCTTGATCTCCCAGTTTTTGGCTTAGTTTCCTGCTTTCTCCACATCTTTTGGCTTAGTTTCCTACTTTCCTCACATCTTTTGGCTTAGTTTCCTGCTTTCTGTGTAAGGGCATTATATAAATTTGTGTTAATTTTATTGTTGTCAACTTGTCAGGACAGTCTTCTGTTTCTGAATTCTACTTTCATTAGTCGTCAGAAATCTGGAGGTGAGCATGGTTGCAAGCTCATGATGTGTGCTGCTCATGAGCCTGGGCTGTGAAATTATTTATTAATTTTCACAAGTTCAGGTCTTTCAGAAGTGTTTCCTGTTGTGTTTGGGCTTAAAGAGGTTAACACTGATGAGTGCTGTAAACCATTCCTACTATGAGGATGTTAGAGAAACTTCAGAGCACAATCTTTTTGGAGTGAGGGTCTAACATCTGACCTTCCTTAAGGTCTATCATAGCAAAGTAACCTGTAACTAGTTGCTAACATGCAATGAACTACATCTTGTTAACTAAAAGAAACTCTTCCAGTTAGACCAGAAATTGGTTTTCCCCATTAAAGATAGGATGTCATTTTCCCATGTTACCTTTGTACCTATTGATCTCTGTGTTGAACATGCTCAAAAATTGAATTTTCACAGCCCTCTGCAGTAGACAATTCTAAAGATTCAACATCCTGAGTGAAGAAAATCTTTTCTAGCTCCATCTCAAATGGCCTTCTCTTTAATATGTCCCCTGGCTCTACAGTCACCAGTTTGGGGATTTCATCCACCCTGTCATGTTCCATAAATGTTGTGTAAATTTAGGGGGCACGGGTTCAAGGTGAGAAGGCAAAAGTTCAAGGGAGATGTGCGAGGAAAGTTTTTTACACAGGAAGTGATAGGAGCCTGGAATGCACTGCCAGAAGAGGTGGTGGAAGCAGGCACGTTGGCAACATTTAAGAGGCATCTGGATGGTTACACAAATAGGGAGGGAGTAGAGGGATACGGACTGAATAAGGGCAGAAGATTTAGTTTTTAGTTCAGTCAGAGCATGATGATCGGCACAGGCTTGGAGGGTCGAAGGGCCTGTTCTTATGCTGCACTTCTCCTTTGTTCTTCTTTTGTTCTTTGAGATTACCTCATATCCCTCAAAACTAACAAGAATACAGACCTAATTTCCTCAATATCTCCTTATAAGACAATTTCACCATCCCAGGGATTAATCTGGTCACCCTCCATTGTAATCCTTCTATGGTAATTAGATTCCTTACAATCCTTTCTTAGATAAGGTGCCAAAGCTGTTCATAATACTCCAGGTATTTAACTGCAGCAAGACCTCTTTAGTTCTGTGCTGAAATCCCCTTGAAATAAATGCCAACATGCCATTTGCCTTTCTAATTGTTTGCAGCACATGTAGGCTAGCTTTTAGCGACTCATAGAAAAAGGCATCCAAATTCATTTGGACAGCTACACTTCCCAAACTCTCCCCTTTTAAGAATTTTCTTCCTTTTTGTTTATCTCAACCAAAGTTAATAACTTATTCACATTATATTCCACCTGACATGTTCTAGCTCATTCACGGAGTTTGTCCAAGTCCTTGGGAAGTCTCCTTATATCTTCTTTACAATTTATAGTCTCACCCAGTTCATGCCATTAGCAAATCAGGAAATGTTACATTTGGTCCCTGCACATCAATATCATTTATATAGATTGAACAGGTGTGGGCCTACCACCAACCCTTATGATGCCTCAACTAGTAACAGCCTGATAATAATCCATTTATTCCTACCCGCTGCTTTCCCTGTGTTAACATATTCCCAAACCTACTAGTACATTACTCCTAATCCATTACACTTTAATTTTATTTCTAAACCTCCTGTGTCGGACTTTATCAAAAGCCTTCTAAAAACCAAATACACCATGTCCATAAGTTCTTCTTTGTTTATGCTACAAGTAACATCCACAAATAACTCTAAACTGTTTGTTTAAAGTGATTTCCCTTTCATAAATCGGTGTTGATTCTGACCAATTTACCATTCTTTTCTAAATGTCTGGTTTTCACATCATTTTTAATAGATTCTAACTATTTCCCTGTTACTGATGTCAAGTTTTCATGACTATGGGTCAGAACCTCAAAGTTCTATGGAGCTTTCTAACTTATAATTCCAAACTATGTTTTTAAAAGAGAACAGATACAGTCAACAGTGGCTGCAGATGTGAATCAAGTCTGGAGAGAGACAGAGAGAGAGAGAGAGAGAGACCACAGAATGTCACATCCATGGGTGCTAAGGGAATTGCAAACACGACCCCTTCAAAGGTTGGGTGTGGGGAAAAACAAGTCAAAACAGAATGGATGGTGATATCTTGTGGCCACAAAGATCCCAAAGGGCTGACAGCTGACCCTTTGCTCCCTTTGAAGAACACACATGAGGATATTAGTGGTTTAAAAGCCAGTTTCAACTCCAACAGAGGATGCTGGTGGGACTAAATGTTCTCATGTGTATCAGCTAGATACAAGTGTTAGATTACTGTAAAAGTCAATCGAAGAACTATTCCCTAGTCACCCCTGAATTGCAGACAAAAAAAGACCGTCTCTCCCTGCAAATGCTGCAAACCAGACAAAAGCCAACAGGACAACAAAATGACTCTGTCTTTTTGAATGCTGGAATTCAATTGTGGTCAAAAGGAATCAGAACTACATAACCTCAAACAATCTACATAACTGATGATTGTGAAAACCACTGATCAACTGCTAACATCAACACTACCAGTTACCTCCACGGCCACAACATTCAACTATCCCCTTTACGTGAATAATTCAGAGACTGATCCACACATCTTTTTTTTAAACATTTATCCGTTTGGGCTCATTTCTTATTTCCAATCTTGGTGTGTGTATTGAACTATCATGTCTTTATGTGTTTAGCAATGAATAGACTCACTCATTTTGTTAATCCAATGAAGTCTATTTGAATTGGCTCCTTTTAAAATATAAATTTAGTTGAGTGTGGGAGAAAGATATCTACAAGGGAAGGATCCCTCTTTAAATCAACCTTGTTGCAACCAATTTGGAGAGGGAATGAGCAAAGAAGTGGAGTTAGTTCATCCCTCCTCATGGAGGAGCCTAACAGTTCATTGTATTCCATCTGGAACCATAGTGAATTGGGGAACCTCCCTTGCAGCCTGGTAGATTTCCATTCTGCCACTCCCTCTCTTCTTAAATTGGGATGCCTTAAGTAGTTCTCCATTTCAATCAGCAGGAACCTTTCCAGAATTTAAAGGACTATGAAATGTAACCACCAACGTATCCATTATCTCAACAGCTATTTCCATCAATCAGGCTCCGTAGTTTCCTGTACTCTAAGTGGCTGGTAGCAGCATTCTTTATATTAAGCAGAAACACATAGGGCATAGTGACCTGGCACACACATACAACACTTGCCAGCCAAATGAAATCATAAAATGCAATCACTGCTGCCAATACAGGGAACTGCAGCAACGTTCAGATAAACATCACTGAGACGGAACCTGATGATGGTTTGGGAATAAGCCTTGACCATGATAACGGGAACAACCCTGCTCTTCTTTGAAACTTATCAGGTCTGTCAAGGGAATCTACTTTATAATTGTGCTCAGCGTCAACACGGTTGACTAGAGAAAAGCTGGCTGTGCCTTTTTACAATATTTTCAAATTCTCAATGAAGTTTGCAGGTACTAAAAGCCTGAGTCTTGAGCACCTAGATATCCAATCAAAAATCAGTGCATTCATGCACAATCTTGTGGCACAATGTTTTTTTAAGTTACTTGTCTTTTCTATACCAAACTCATACATGCACCATAGGCACAGAGCAGTTGAAAATCTTTTTTCATCCATTGATCAAGATTTTACAAAGTCCAGTGGTTTTATTAACTGTAGCAGGACATCTAAGTAATATTTGTTCATCTGAATAATAGTTTCAACACTGGAACATCTGCTAAGGATATTAATTCCTTGAGTTTAAATCAATTGTTCTGTGGAAAATCAGGATTGGAATTTATTAATGACTTGCAACACCATGCTTTATTGTCAAGGTCTAAATGCATGCAATGAGGCTGAACAATTTTGGCAGATATGATGCAAGGATGTAATTACAATCTTCCATTCATACATTTTAACCCCTGAAAATGAGTGAAGAGAATAAAAGAGCATTACAACAATACCATTTTTATAATGCAGTGGATAAAAAAGCAATACAACAATACCATTTCTATAATGCAGTGGATAAAAAAGCATTACAACAATACCATTTTTATGTTTCAATATGTTCAACATTATAACAAAGATACATATCAGAATGTGTTTTTACATAATCTGTGGGAAAAACTTACATTATCACAGCACTTTGCAACGTTATGTATGGGTTGTAAGAATTATACAATCTTTTAATAAAAACATTATCCAAGAACTGGAAATTAATTTACAAAATAGAAAAAAAGGAATGTTGCAGTCTAAATTAAAATTTGTATTTACATTTTTATTTTTTATTGGAGAACTTGAATACAGCACATTTACAAACTTCATTTTTTGGCAATTTTACCCATTAAATTATAATTATTCAGCAACCTAAATTGCCTGCCATCGCATATCTGGATCCATGAACGATTAAATGAGCCAATAGATCATGTATGACAGGTAATATTTTAGAATAATTCGATATAAACTTTTAACTGATCTTGGATGGCCTTCACTCTAACGTGGAAAATGAAAAAAACTCACTGCTAGGGAGAACTCGAAAATAAATTGTATTTGTAACGAGAATATGAGAAAACTCTGATGAATGGCTGAGTACAGAGAAAAGAATGCTGAATTGAACATTGTCGCATTTCCTCTGTGGCTTTTCTTAGTCCTTCATTTTGCTACAGTACATGCCACAGTGAAAGAAAAGTGCCCTAAATAACTGCATGTGTGTAGAATAGAGTCATTAACACTAACACTACTTCTGTGGTCAAAGTCTGGCCTTTATCATATGGGGCCACCTGTGTGCTTTTGCAGTTACAATCAAGCAATCCAATCCCGCATTATAAAAATATGGGAATGGGCAAGAGAAAGTCTTTGAAGTGGTGCATCGCTGCTGTCCTCTGCTGCCCAGAAATGCACACCACAGGAAGCACAGCAAATGAGAATTGTTTTTAATCAATCTGTACAGACATATTATGACACATGGTCTGGGTAATTGGGAATTGAACGCATACCTTCTAGCATTGGGAATAACACCTGAGTTATAGTAGATAGAAGAGTTGATATTATTAAAAAAAAGCAACTAGATATAATTTGCCAATTCTAGAAACTAGTTTTCATCCAGTATGTAATTGAAAATAAATTGCATGTCACAGAAAGTTGAAGTACATTTTACAAAAAGAAAGTTCAGCTTAAAAGACATATACATTTAAGAAGTTGAAATCATATCTTATCAAAGGGATGTTTTATAAAATTTCTGTGTTACAAGTGTGAAATGTCTCTATGTAATTACCAATTGCTGACAAATGTAAAAGAAATTCATAAATACCAGGTATTTCAAAGATAGTGACACAAAACATTTTGGTGGCATTTCAAGTGAATGATTGTCACTATAACAGCATCTTAGGCTAATCTTGAACTCTTGTCTCTTATATTTTCTAATAATGGACACTGTGGCCTTTTTAAATACAGCCTCACATATACAGAGAGCAAATAAGCTGAAATTATTTCTGTAGAATCCAGTATCAAAACACATTTAGTCTAATAGCAACAAGATAATTCACAATCTTTCTCACACTGCTGAATTCTACCCTACTTTGAAAGTGATGTAACAGCTCTGCTTAAACAATTACAAAAACAAACGCTTTACGTAGTCGTGACATTTTACATCACCATCGCAACGAATAGATAGGAAACCTCCTTCAGTGATTGGAGACATAGCATCAAAGGCAAAGCCTTTTTCAATATAAAAACAGCTTTTGTAACAAAACATTTGATCGTAACATGTTAAATGGTTTTAATGGCAGATAACCGATCCTGAGCAATCTAATGTGGAATGAGACCATAAGACATAGGAGCAGAAATTAGACCATTCAGCCCATTGAATGGCAGAGCAGACTCAATCAGGGCTGATAAGTTCCTCAACCTCATTCTCCCGCTTTCTCCCCGTAACCCTTGATCCCCTTGACAATTAAGAACCTATCTATCTCGGTCTTAAATGTACTCAATGACCTGGCCTCCACAGCCTTCTGTGGCAGTGAATTCCATAGATTCACCCCTCTCTGGCTGAAGAGGTTTCTCCTTATCTCCATTCTTACAGGTCTTCCCATAACTCTAAGACTGCGCCCTCGGGTCCTAGTCTCTCCTACAAATGAAAACATCTTCCCAACATCCACTCTGTCCAGGCCATTCAGTATTCTCTAAGTTTCTCAGTGTAATACAGCTGCATTCTTACCATTTTTGGCATGGGCTGCTTAATGCAGATGAGCAACAAGTGAGTTCCCTGGGGATCACGCATCTTACCTGCTTGCTAACCGTCTGCTATGAATAGGACAAAAAAAAAGTTGCCATTGCAGTGAATGTCTATCCAAATGTAACTACATTACTGCTTCAACTTTGGCTAAATGAGATGAAAATCAACATGATACAGTTCTAACCCAAAATAGGAAAAACCATGCTAAAAAAAATTGGAACCACTTATTTTTTCTTGTTGACATAACTTAATGTTTAACACTAAAGGACAAACTAAAACTAAAGCTAAATATAAATCCAAAAACAGAATAAACCCCAAATGCATCCTTTAGGATTTACAAACTCTTTCTCCACATTACAAAGCTCAGAAGGCTCTTTGCTTTACATTTTTTTAAAATCATAATTGAATAAAAATAGATGTTAATTTCTAAATTATAGAATCGTAGAATATTATGGTTACAGAAGATAGACATTTGACCCATATGCCTATGCCAGATATACTTTATTCACAAGGTTTTAATATTAAACATGTAAAATTAAATGATTTATGTACTGGTGTGTTTTCTAAGCATTTTCCTCATTATGTTCCTTCTTCATTCCTTATTTTGCCTTTGTGATCCTAATCTGCTTTCCCTGTAGCTCAGTTTATGTTTTATTCAAAAACTTAATAGTTACTCCAAACATACACAGTTTGAAAATAAAATTGGCGCGTTGGGGGAATAACGTGACTATTTTCTTTTCAAATTTCTTTAACTAATCTTAATTAGTTGAATGCAAATATTGGAAAGCAGACTCACGATAAGACTTTGTGCTCCTTTGGATATATAACATTATGGAGGAACATCAGGAAATGAATGTTGGTGAATTCTAAAGCATTATCTTACAGCTGACTGTTGGCGATGTTTAATATCTGAAAGCTTAAAGTACAACCTTACACCTCTGCAAAATGAATACAACTTCTTTAAATAATTTAGCATTGTGATGCAGGATTAGGATTCAAGACCATTATTTTTTGAGTTCACATTCCAGTCTTGATTGTCACCTGAGAATGGCTTCAGTGGATTTTCACCAAGACTTCTTGATAAAGCTTCAAGGAGCTGATTGATCAGCCTCCGAGGAAGAAGAGAGTTATCAAGAAGCAGAGTCTGTTTCATCAGGACCCACACTGTCTGGTAGTATCAATGAGGTATTGACCATGATGGTGATATTGTTTCTTAGATCAGATTGCCTTCCAAATGAAGATAATGTTATCAGAAATTTATGGCAGAACCATGTCCTCATGATTTAGTTGATGCTGCATCTGTGGGCTAAAAGAAGAGATTTTTGAAGAAACACTGTTAACAGAGCATCCATAACTAACAATTTCAGATTTACTTACACAGTGAGAATCCCTTAAAGAAAATTAATCCTTTCAAGGAAATAATGATTTTTCACAAAATAGGCCAAAGTATATTACATTTCTTCAAATTTAATATTCTTCTGAGATATATGAACCCTTTATTTTTCCCATGAAATGTAGGAGAAATTGCAAAAAAAAATTACAAAATAAAAGTTCCTGACAATGGGGTCTGGAATTAAAATGGAAATGTTGCAAAATAATGATCATCCTTGGTTTGGAGCTAATAAAGCTAAAGTTTTGATCAGAGTGTTGAGGAAATGTGATCACATAGTGCTCATGAAATGGGTGTTGAGTTTCACTGGAACTATGTACAAAATCGGAGATAGAGAAGCCACAGCAGGAATGAGAAAGGTATTTAAAATAGTGAGCCACAGGACATTCAAGATCACACTGTCAGTCCAAACAGAGGTATTTAACTTGATTTGTTGTTGGTTTCTCCAAAGCAGGGATTTACTTGTCCACAGATAAGTTTTATTAATATTTTCTGTTATAAAGTTGCTTCATGGCGACAGCCACTGTCAATCCTCAAACCAATCATTGTAGAACAAATTTCATAGTGGAATTCTAATACAGGTATTAGATTCCTTGTTTATCTGCAAAGGATCCAACACCTATTTTAGGTGCAAGCAATTTCAAGTCAGACGCTAAAACAAAATGTAAAATATGGATATCCGAAATTAAACAAAACAAAGTGCTATAGAAACTCAGCACATCTTGCAGCATCTTTTTTGGTCCGCGGGGTGTGGGCAGAGTCCATGGGACCTGGAGTCAATGTTGAGGACTCCTAGGGTGATTCACTCCCAACCCTATTCCACCATGCAGCCGGCTCTGGTGTGTCTATCCTGCCAGTGGGACAAGACATACCCAGGGATGGCAATGGTTGTGTTTAGGACAATGTCTATAAGGTATGATTCTGAGAGCATGACTATTTCAGGCTGTTACTTGACTAATGTGTGGGACAGCTCTCCCAATTTTGGCACAAGCTCCCAGATATTAGTGAGGAGGACTTTGTAGGGGTTAACAGGGCTGTGTTTACAATAATCTTTCCCAATGCCTAGATCAATGCCAAGTGATCCCTTTAGCTTCTTTCCTGTTCTTAGACTTTATCACTGTTTGATTAAAAATAAAGTGGTTTACTGTGCTGCTTGAGAGAGCATTGAAGAGTCAACCACACTACTGTGGGTCTGGAGTCATATGTAGCCTACACCAGGGGATGGTAGGTTTCCTTCCCTCGACGAACACTAATCAAATTGTTAGGATTTTACAACAATCCATATTTGTTTCATGGTCACCATTGGACTAGCTTATAATTCCAGATTCATTAATTGAATTCACATTTATGGAAAGAGAAACAGAGTTAATGTTTAGATCCATTAAAACCTCTTCAGTTTTAAAGACTTAACACTGTTTCTGTCTTCACAGATGCTGCCAGCACAGTTGAGTTTCTCTAGCACTTTGTTTCCATTTCATTTCAGGCTCTTTCTGGAAGGAACATACGGACCCCTGAAATTGAACCTTACTGTTTTCATATCTGTATTATACCAGAAGATCAAAGAAATCAGATAAGCAAAAGTGACAACTACATTCTTAACAGAAGTAGTCTCAACTAGGTAGAACAGCATTTGGATTTGAGGGAGTAGGTTCATTAGACACAGATCGCAGGTTTTAAGACCTTATGCCTTTCCAGTTTCCTGGTCAATTTAAAATAAACATAATTTAACATAAAATAACATATGAGAAGTAATTGCACAGAAAGAAAGTAAAAGATCAATATCTGGATCAAGTGAATATTGTTGTTTTTGCTTTTCAGTGGAAGTGCTTGCAATAATGTTTTGGAAATGCTTCAGTGCATATGCAAATTGTTCTGTTTGTATGTTAAGTGCATTTTCCAATACCACTACACAATTAGTGGAGAAAGAAAGACCAGAATTTTCAGTTGCAAGCATTTACTAGGGTGTGACAAAGAACTTGCCAGAAATTGTTCTCGGTCCTTCCAGTATTCCACCTGAAGAAACCAGTGGCAACACACTATTCTTCAGGAAGTGGATGGAATTTCCACTGCATAACAAGACCTAAAGAATCTAGCAGATACACCAAATAATAATCATAATGGTCTTTTTTTGCTAGGTTTGCCATCATCTCACTCCCTATATTCATTTCTTGGAGTCACTTTAGCTCAATATATCCTGTTTCCAGTATGAGGAAGTATGTGTTAACATTGGGCAATTGATGTCTTCAAGATCACCGTCACTGGGATTCCAGGTGGTGTCTTTGGTAGGTTTATCTTTTTCTTTCATGAGACGTTGCATATCACTATTTGCCCTTGAAAGGAGTGGCTTGCCAGGCCATCTCAGAGGACAGTTAAGAGTCAATTGTATTGCTTTGCCTCTGGAGCCATATGTAGGCCAGACCAGGGAGAGATGGCAGATTTTATTCGTTAAAGGACAATGGTGAACCAAACAAGTAATGATGGTTTCATGGTCACTATTACATAGACTAGTTTTCATTTCAGAATTATTAACTGAATTTAAATTCCACCAGTTTCTGTGGTAGGATTTGAACTCATATCCCAAGAGGATTAATGCTGAGTTTCTAGATTACAACACCATTACACCATCACTGCCCCAAAGTGCAGTTCTAAAAGTGTAAGTCATTGACAGATTTCACTCTCATTGAGGCATTTCCTTAATTAATTACTTCCATTCCAATGAACAGCTGTAATGAGAAACCAAACATTAGCAGATTAAAGTGCCAAACAGTGCAGAAACCCAAATACAGACTCTCAGATTGAGAGAGAGAGCGGGTGCACAGCTTTTATTTAATTTGCAACAGTACTGTTGTATGAGATTAAAATATTAGGAGATGAGCATTTTATTTTGTTAGATCATATTGAACTGGAATCTGGGTCTTTAGGGTTCCAAACAACACATCCTCCCTTTTACCATCCTCTCTATATAGACATGTCAAATAAAGCCTGTTGTTGTTCACTCATTAAAGTGCAGACCTTACATTCCTACATCCTTGAAGGGCCAAGAGACCTTTTTTCAACCTTGATTGTTCTTAAGATGCAGATTAATAATTTAAAACTGAAAAATTTGAGGCTACAGCTAAATTAATCTACCCTTCTGAGTGGAACTAAAATTAACTAATTAAAACCAGTGACTATTTTGCTCTTACTACATACCTTTCTGAGAAATGCAATAGCAAATCAATCCGAGAACCAAAGTCAGCAGCGCTGTGACTGCTACAATGACAGCAATTGTCACTGGTTGGAGACTGGAATCTGGAAAATTAGAATGTCAACAATTACCATTGTCCTTCTGCAGCAAAAGGTTATATATATCGTATTGCAATAAAATTAATAAATTCACTTTATTCACTTGTTCTGTCTCAATGCTCATGGAAGTTACATGCTGTGACAATCAGCGTATGAACCTTAGTGCATTTGTATGCAATACAACATTGCTTGGTACCTGAATGCATCTGTTAATGAATATTGCAGCAGTGCAGTGACAAAGGAAAATCAGGCGGGAAAGATTATATAATGGTTCCCTCCACTGCCATATTCACCAAGGCTCCACCACAGGACAGTAGGTGCATCTGTCTGAGTCAAGTTTTTAAGATACAAATTGGGATTCGCTCACATAAATAGTATCCAGTATGAGTGAAGCACTCATTTTATGGCAATGCAGTTCTAAATTTACCATTTTTCTGTCACCTTGAGGCTAAGAAACATACTGGAAACTTCCAATACTTTCTAAGTTGCTATTGTTGGCTGGCAAATGATTGATAATGAGAATGTAGGAAACACTGAATTTCACAGCATCATTAGCCCTTGCCCTTTGCTATTAAAAAATGCAGTTGTGAATCTTTTCGTAAGAAACTTTGATGACATGGTTGATGATAACACTACAAAAAGCACCTTACCTTGACTCAGTACTTCAATCCAGTTGCTAGTTTGTCCATTAATTGAGCAGTAATATCTTCCAGGATGGTTTGCAACATGAGTGAGTTGATTCTGTTTTGTGCTTTCCGTTGAATTCTCTTTTGAATGCACAAAGTACCAGGTATATTTTGCATTGGTTTGATAAGTTACACTGCAATTCAGTGTGACTTGGTGGCCCTGAATTGGGGGATCTGGCTTTGAGGTCAATTTAACAGACAAATCTGAAGAGAAATTCAGAACATTCAGAAATTGGATTTAAGATGTAGAAAAAGAATCTGCATATTGAGCAAATTTTCACAGGCTTTGTTGGGGTTTTGCAGCAAACACAACAGCTACCTACAGTATCATAACAGAACGGATGTGTCCATGTATACACCAGTAGAGTTCTTAAGTGTTTTCTAGCATACATATCTCGACATGTAAATATTGCTTTCTGGTGTAGACAGCAAGGAGGCAGCTGCTGACAGAACTATATTGCAGTAAATGGCTAAGGTGTGCACCACGAACCAAGGGAGACTCACCCTCTGTTTCCCACAACCTCCCCCATACAGAAATAGTTGACTTTATTTAGTTTGATTTTTATTGTAAACGAGTTCAAGAATAGAAATGTCTTTTTACATTTATATTGGGATTTGATGATACCACATTTGGGAGAGCTGTGCGGAGTTTTGGATTATATATTCTCGGATGGATATACATGCACTGGAGGTGGTACAGCGTAGGTTCCCTCCATTGATTTCTGGAAGGACAGGGTTAACCTATGTTGTGAATATTGTGCCTTTACTCCCTGGAGGTTGGAAGGATGAGAAGTGGCCTCATTAAAACATATATGATTGTGAAGGGGCTTGACAGGATAGACACAGAGGTTAATTCATGGGGTAGGAAAGCTAGATAACAGAGGAGGCCACAATCTCAGGATAAATGGTCATTCATTTAGGACCAAGATGAGAAGAAATTTCTTCATTCAGATACTTGTGAACCTTTGGAATTTTCTGTCCCACGAGCTTCAGATGCTCAATCCTTGAGCATATTTAAAGTTGAGGATAAACAGATATTTGATCTCTTGGGGGAATCAGGGATTTGGTGTTGTATATGGCAGCTAGTACCTGAAAGGGTTAACTGATATCAAGATAAGCTGGACCCATCGGGATATAAAGGATTGTTCCTTGAGGGAGGAGCTAACTCATTGGGCATTCAGGGTTCAGTTATGTATTTGTAATAAAGTCATTTTAACAATGTTTCAGTAGTGGTAATGTATACTTATTTTAAATATAGCCTGATAATCTCTCAAGAAACTATTATTTATCCCAAATAAAATAAAACAAAGAACTGTGAATTCTGGAGATCTAAAACAACAAAAAAAAACAGAAAGTGCTGGAGAAACTCAGCAGGTCTGGCAGCATCTGTGAAAAGAAAACAGTTAACATGGAGTCCTGTGACCTGTCTTCCAACTTTTCTTCCACTTCACAGTGGTATTTTAGGACTGAGGACTTGTCCAGTCAGGGAAAGTAGTAACAGCAACATTCATTCCACGGATCACTCAGGGTTTGGGTAGGACTGGGTAGCACTGGAAGGAGGAGGGAAGAAAACAGAAACAAAAGAAGAACATTGGAGAGGAAAAGCAGCTGTCAGCAGCGCTTTGTAAAGCAAGAAAAGAGCAGCTGGAAGCAATCTTTTGGATCTGCTTCTTTTTTCTTCCTTCCACTTCATGTAAAGGCATATTGAGTATTTCCTGTTATCCTCTAATATGGTGAGAAGGAATGTCTGAGACCTAATGGAACAAGGCAACTGGTAATATACGTGTTAATGTGTTAGACTGCCAACAATATTTCTCACTGATAACTGTGAAGAGTTAGAGATAGGTGTGTGAATATGAACATTTTAGTTATGAATATGGAGCAAAAAACCATTTCAGCATTGAATGTGTAAAAGGAACCACTCAGTAATCAACTAAATGGTTCATAAACTTTTGGCAGATCAGTGAAGCTATAAATTATTGTCTGCACACGCACAGGTTGTACATGCTAAGAATTTGTTGCAAATAGTTAATGTATATAGGCCATATCAGTTAGTTTGTAGTATGAATAATAAAGTTCCATTAGTAATAAGTGATCAACCTCCAGCTTGGGAAAAGGCTACAATTAATTCTACTTTCTCAGAGCATTTAAATGCACTGTCTGCAGAAAGAAAGGCTTTCATGAAAGCCTAAGTCTCAAAGAAATTGGTGAGACTTAAGATAGAAGGTAAAGCCATTGTGAAAACCATTTTCACTCAGAGATATATGGTTTATTATATGAGACAGCGCCTTAGTAAAGACAAAAATAATAATTGTACAGTACGTGACCCTGTTGTGCGGTTACATGCTCTAAGTGTTGCTTGGTATAGATTATAAATTTGCAGATTCTGAAGGGGTTACAGGAAATAATGAGGAACTCTCATAACCAAATGTTGCACAGTTATTAGTATCAAATGACTACAATTGACAGATCAGTTCTAATGGTCAACAGGAGGCCACTGGTCCCTAAGGACGACAGTTAAAAGTGAGTACTATAGTCAAAGATTTACCAGTAGGGGCTAACCAGTTGAGAAGTTCAACTTCAGTAAATACAGCAGGGAAGGCCACTAGAAAATATCACAGCTGGATGAATGTACAAGATGAGAGGCAGGGATCAGGCCCATGGATTGGGAACATGAAGCAGAAAGACAGAGGGCAGGAAAGCGCAATATAAACTCAAACAGTGGGTCTGGGAGTGAACATGCCATACAAAAAATATTACAAACTGTTGAAAGAAATCCCGTTAATAGAAGGTCAAACAGTAACAGTCCGGAAAGAGGTAGGAGGCAAGATAAAGGGAGTAGTTTAACAAGGACAAGAAATACAGCATAAACCAGGAGAAGAGTCCTGTGTGATGGGGAGGTGTTAGTGGCCCCATGAATAAGCTAAAAGGCAAGTTAACAAAAGATACCAACAACAGGAGCCACAAAGATGGAGAGAATTTAGATGTTCATGGGGGTGCCAGCATTATCACAAGATGGATATGCATGGATCAAGGTATCCTCTGATGGAACCTACAAGGCTAAAGCAAGGCAAGGGGCAACTTTTTCATGCAGAGGGTGATTCGTATATAGAATGAATTTCCAGAGGAAGTGGTAGATGTAAGTACAGTTACAACATTTAAAAGACATGTGGAAGGGTATATGAATAGGAAAGGTTTAGGAGGGATATGGACCAAATGTAAGCCTTGGGAAAATTGGTTGGCATGGACAAGTTGGACTGAAGGGTCCGTTTCTGTGCTCTATGACTCGAGTGACGCAAGGTTTTGATGAAAAGGTATGAGACCAAGATATAAAGAGTAGATTCACTGATGACAGGAAAATCAACTTTGAAAATTTTCTTGGCTTTGTTAGCAAGAAATGCTTGGGAGGCTAAATCAACTGATATTAAAGCTGCTTTTCTGCAGGGAGATCAACTCAAGAAGGAAGTGTTTCTTCTCTAACGGATGGACGAATTGCAGTAGGGACACTCTGGAGGTTAAATAAATGCATATATGGCCTAAGTAATAATTCTAGAGTTTGATAATTCTCAGTGTGATGATACTATAGCTTTAAGAGATGCATTTTGTCCATTTTTTTTAAAATGAGGAAATGTTGGGACAGAGGCGACGAGTGGTCTGTTCAAAGCCAATAAAGTAAACAGCTTGTGAGGCCTTGAATTTTTTTTAAAGTTGGAGCAATAGAAGCAGCCTGAATGGGTGGGGTCAAGCCCACCAGAGCCAGGATTTTTATTTCTAGTTTTCTGCAGTTGAAGGGGTCTTGAAGCTGGATGTGGAAGCTCTTATTCCTCTCTCTGTTACATCTAAAAGCTGTGGCTCTCTTAATGCTACTAGAATTACACGTAAGACAATCTATCTTACTGAATTTGCCTTTGCCAAGGATGTGTTTATGGCATGTTACTATATTGGAACAGCTAATTAGTAATAGTTAACATGTTATTTCGCTAAGCATTTTGACACTGTTGCAGTTAAACCATTCTTTTCTTTTATTTTGCCTCTATTTTTACACTACAGTTAAAATAAAGTGTGTTTTGCTCAAAGTTGAGTAGTTTGGCCAATCGAATTGGAATGCAATGCCTTGCACTTATCTTTAAAATAAGAAAATGTTAGGATCTAGGCTCTCTTAATATATTTTGAGGGGGTTTGGTCTGGCCCATAACATCAGTAAGGCCTGTCTTATTAAAATTGGGATATCTTTACTTAAAAGCAGATCCCCATGTTTTACTGGCCTGATGAGGGGCACTTTGAGACACTTTAAGATGTACAAAGATGACTTTCTGTTGGGTGGGATCAGTGAATTTTAACCATTGTCATTAATGGACTTAAAACAGAATTCAACATTGAAAGTCAGACTTCTGCAGCTTTTAAACATACTGGATCAGAAATCAGGCAGAATGGATTGACTATCATTTTGCAACAGCAATCCTATTTGGAAAATGTTATCTCCATTGCTGTTAGTGAAAGTAGACCCTCACAGAAAGTGGTAGCAGCTTCTGAAACTGATATGGAGGAACTGTGAAGACTAATTGGATAGCTGAATTAGCTGTGCACCCAAACAAGGCCAGATGTCCTTTTTGAAACATTAGTCTTGAGTGCAACTACGACAAATTCTAAGGTAAAAAATATTAATTGAGTGAATACATTTTTTTGTTAAAAATGGAGCATCAAGTTTTGAAATATCCATCACTGGGAGATGCCAGGCATATGAAACATGTTTTTAGTGATGATCCTTATGCAGATCTTTGTCATGGGCTCTCAAATGCAGAATGGTTTATAATTTTTCTTGTGAGAAAGGAGGGTAAAATCCGTCCTTTAGCTTGGGAAACTAAAAAGATCAGCAGAGTATTCAAAATACTTTAACAGCAGAAACTCCAGCTCTTGGTGAAATGGTAGATTTGGCATTTTTGAGTGAAAATTTGTAGAAATTCTTAAGAGGGAGTCAGCAGCAATACTACTTAGTGTGACATTAGTCACTATGAGATACCATACATTCAACAAAATGTGAGAATGAGAAAAGACTTGGGATCGACATTGTAGTCTTGAAACAGATGCTGGAGAATGGAGAAATCTCCAATTTGAAATGGATGAGTATAGAACATAGAACATAGAACGGTACAGCACAGTACAGGCATATGGCCCACGATGTTTTGGCGAACTTTTACCCTAAACCTAAGGTCCATCTAACCTCCACCCCTACCTTATACTATCATCCATATGCCTAGCTAATAGCTGCTTAAATGCCCCTAATGAGGCCAACTCCACTACCCTCTCCGGCAATGCATTCCACGACGCTACCACTTTCTGAGTAAAGAACCTACCTCTGACATCTCCCCTATATCTACCTCCACTCACTTTAAAATATGCCTCCTGGTAATAGCTACCACCATCCTAGGAAAATGTCTCTGGCTGTCCACTCTATCTATACCTCTGATCATTTTGCACACCTCTATCAAGTCACCTCTCATCCTTCGTTGTTCTCATGAGAAAAGCCCTAGCTTTCTCAACCTTTCCTCGTAAGACCTTCCCTCCATTCCAGGCAACATCCTGGTAAATCTCCTATGCACCTTTTCCAACGCCTCCACGTCTTTCCTGTAATGAGGCGACCAGAATGGGACACAATACTCCAGATGCGGCCGAACCAGGGTTTTGTATAGCTGGAGCATAACTTCACGGCTCTTGAACGCAATCCCTCAATTACTGAATATCAAGTCAGCTATCTGATAGTTGTCACTTTCTACGTAAAACATCAAAGAAACTGTTGTACATACTGGAAAGGATTCGAGGAACTTTAATGTGCAAAAATAAGACATACAATATGTTGTCATTTTGTATGTTTTGTTTGTGTTTTCTTTACTACTATGTATATATTGATTTATTTAAACATGAAAAGGAGAATCTGCTAAAATCTACTATGGTCTGAAGGAATGCTGAGACTTAACAGAATGAAGGTGCATGTGATGGAAATACTAATGAAGGATTAATTGTCGGTCATTTGGTTGTACAACTATAGGTAATTAGTAATTAGTGGGGTGTGCATTTTAAGGAGTGTGACTACCTGAAATAAAGCTCTAACTAAAAGTGTGGACATGGACTCTGTTTAAGTACAGTTATCTTCTCATGCAGAATAGTTCCCACTGCACATTTAGTGTAATTAATTTGTGATAACGTTACATTCAGGACTATTTGATCTGTAAGCTTCTTTGGATGATGTCGTTGTTTTTAAGCTGGCAACTAAATTGAGTACACATATTCTATGAAACTCCCATTTTAAAATAACCGGAGAATAAAATAAGCTTTAACAGAATAAATTAGATTGAAACATTCACTTTGTTCATACCTACATCCAGCCCATTGCTGTATTTTGAATCAAATCCATTCATAGCTTTGCATTTGAAGGTTCCCAGTTTGTCAGTGTAAGGTACGGGTACAATAAATTGACCTTCTCTCCGACTTTGTGCATTATAGTCCATCACAAAGCTTGTGTTTTTATACAATGTGTACGTTATTGGTAGGGTTCCTTCGTGCGATAAACATTTAATAGTTATGAACATGGTATCCTTCTCCACAAAGTTTACATCCACAAAAATGTCAGGATTCGATGCTGGAACTTGAAAAAGAAAATGAGGAGCATGAATACCACTCAGAAATGAAAGTTTAATTTCCTTTTAAAAATACATCTCACATATCTTAAGTGAACCAACCTTGAACAGTGCCAAGATCTTAATGCAGTAAACAGTCCTACTGGTGTCAAAAATCACACTCAGCTTTTTCAGAACTGAGACAGTTCCAGATGAGTGCAGAAGAAGATGCATAGATGTGCCACCATCATATCTGAATTTCGTTATAAACATCAGGAGTGAAAACAAATCATCTTTCAAAGCAGTTGTCATGTTTTTGTATTATAATTGCATGTGGGGCATTGAAGGAAAATTATGCACAAAATTTTTAGCAAGCCAGAAAATTAACTGAAGCAGACAGGGCTGACGAAAGATCATTGACCTGAAACACTAGCTCTCTGCACAGATACCACCCTGCCTGTTGAGTATTACTGACATTCTCTCTATTTTATTTCCAATTTCCACCACGTACAGTACGTTACCTTTGGCTGCATGCTCAAATTAACATGGTGGTGGTAGTGGTGGTTTATGATTGATAAGTATGAAGTGCCACAGGCTGACATTTTGCAAGAATGAGGTTATTCCAAAAGCCTGGGGGTAATTGTAACATTCACCTCCTGAAGTAGTGAGTCAACTGTGCAATATTGTTGGCACAATTGCTTTTCCTATTGATTTTCACAGAAACGTGTTTAACAGCAATGTAAGTTAGAATCTACAGAAGATACAGTTTTCATATTTTCTTAAATGTAACTTACTAGCTTTGAGGCATCCACTGTCACTGTCACTTCATTCATTAATTTTTATCACTATCTTCTTCCAATTCTCACCACGACATTCGTCCACTGAGCCCCATGATGGAAACTTAAGTGGTACATGGTTCACTTGTAATATCACAAAATAAATGAATAACAAAATATAAAAATCACTTACCTTTAACAATTACTTCTGTGGAATTGCTGACAACATTGAATGTTGTCATATTGAATCGGTTGCTTGCTTGACATTGATAATGACCGGTATTGTTAAGAAGAACATGATCAATAACCAGACTGGATTGGTTTATTTTGACTGAAGAGGTTGACAATATTTCTTGTTTATTAAAGTACCATTGGTAGGTCACACTAGAGCCTTGTTTTACGAGGCAGTTTAGAGTTAGTTTGTCATGTACTTTTAGGACAGGTGGATCCGGTACTGAAGTTATGCTAACTCCCAACACTGGAGCTAAAAATAAATGAAGATTAATTTGTTAGTTTTATGTTCTTGTACATAGAAGTCCTCATTTAAAAGTAGTCACAATTAGAAATCAGGTCATGAAGATGATCTGGATGTGTTCTGTGCCATTGAAGAATTACACCAACTACAAATTTTATTTGTAAAGCAACCCTTAACATAGAGAAAACATCCTAGAGTCCTTCCCAAAGTGTGAAGAAAGAAACAGATATTAAGTCAATAATAAGAGATTAGGAAGGGTGATCAATTGCTTGATCAACTGGGTGAGTTTTAAAGAAACTCTTAAATAAGACACAATGTTAGAGAAATAGAAAGTTATAGGGAAAGAATCAGAAGGATGAAGGCAAGGTAGATGAGAGTGCAGCTGTCAGCGTTGCAGGGATGGAATGTACAAGGGACTAGAGTCAGATGAACAGTGACTCCAAGGAGTCATGAAGAGGTAGAGGAGCTGGGAAGTGTTTGAACACAAGAATCAGAATCTTAATTCAGAAGATTTATGGGAATCTTATGTAGGCAATGAATGACAAATGGGACTTAGCGTAGGAAAGGATATGAGCAGCAGAATTTGGGACAAGCTGGTTTATAAGGGGGTGAGGATGAGAGGTCAGCCAGTGCAGTTATAGAATGATTGAGTCTAATGATAACGAAGGCATGGACGTAGTCAAAGTTATGGCAGAACAGGCAGGTTGGAAATATATCAGGGCCAAACAGATTGCAGAAGCTGAGATCAGCTTGGTTGAGCCTAAAACAGTGACCAGGTAGGGGGATGGAATCAATGGCTTCAATCTTCCCAATGTTCAGCTGGATGCCTTAGGTTCCAGCTGTTGCAGCATTGGAAGTTAAACAAGCAGTAATTCTTTGTGGATAAGTAAAATCTGAGGTGCAGATTTTCACTGAATTGTAATGCTTGGGCAGACCATTAAAAATGGGAGGTGGGGACTGGATAGAGAATTCCAAACCCTATTTCTTGTAGATTCCATTTTTGCTGACAAAGTAGTCGGGTAGAGAATGATACAAACAAGGAAAAAAAACATTAATCTCTTGGACCATTTGAAACTGGTGATGAATTCAACCATACCCTGTTTTGTTCTGTTCCAGCAGCCTTAACTGAAATGTGGGAAATTCAATTTTATGGATAAAATTTAAAGAATTGAAAAAGGCACACTTAAAGTCTCTTAAAGTGCCATGATCTGGAGTGATTTAGATCTCCAGCCTATTAAAATTGAAAAATTTTGTTAAAAGTACACTAGCAGCCTCTTGTGAATATGCTCAGCGTCTGGCTGCCATGGAAACCAAAAAGGAAAACAAAACTTATGGTCTATCAAGCTAGGTTTCATTCTGGGATCTGACTTTCCAGTAAGACCACCAGCTGGGATTGTAACGCTTTCAATAAAGGTATCAGGTTTAATAACATTTCATCTCCATTTTTCCCTGCACCTTTCATTGTATTCCATTTGTACCCTGGCATCTTGTATATATAAAAGACACAATTCGTTTACTCCTATAACTTACTATTATCTGATGCAGAATAAACAACTTAAAAGAAATTCCATTTAAGTTTTTAGGTATGATATTTATTTGTTATAACCCAGAACTATGCAAACACAGTCCTACATGGGATGTGAAACTGTATCAGTCCAATGTGAATGCAATCCAAACAAGTGAACAAACTCATTGGAATGTTGAAATTACTCCTAACAACCAGGCAGCCTTGGGCAAGATACAAGCACCAGAGTCCAAAACAAATTCTAAATAAGAGGCGGTAAACAGAAATGGAGAGAATCACATATTTGCAATTTATGGAGTTATTTA